TTTTTTTTTTTTTTTTTTTAAACAGGTAACAAATTCACTTTATAGCTAACAGTGATAAATGTAAAAATTCACACAAACGGTGCCTATAAAAACCAAACAAAAAGGCATCTGGAGCTACGATCACTGCATGCGGGTGGCCCAGGTGTTAAACTGCAGCAGTTATGACGATGTTGCCCGTAGGAGGTGACAGGTGCTGTTCTTGTTGGAACATTCTCATTTTCAATGCTGAACTATAATAAGCTACACATATAAAAACAAAGATACTAACATAAAAGCTCAACTTACTCTGTGATACAACTTGTGCTTGCTGTTGAGTGACTCCAAATAGGAGAGATTCTGCTTGAAGATGTGGATGTCAGGCTGCAGGAACGACTGTCCAAAAGCCTGGTCAAGACATTTAAACAAAGGTTAGGAAATAAAAAGAAGCTAAATTTAACAATTAGGTTATGTTCAGATTAGCTGTGGCACAATTGGCTATATTTATATTTGATATGACTGTTAATCTTGAGAAAAACTTTCAAATGGATTTTCAGTTACATCAACTATAATCTGCTGCTCACCTGAAGAACAAAATAAAATCCAAAAACACAAAGAAAGAAGCCTAAACCTTCTAGTTTTATCTAAACAGTACATGACAACTGTAGGTACGTGCATACACACACCTGCATGGCAGCTGTGAACTGGGCCTCATTCTCAATGGTATCTTCTGCGGCTCCTCTTTGGACAGTTGTTAAGACTGAAATTTTAAAGAAGTACCTCCAGTTTTGGTGAAGTATTTGGTAAAGCAACTCAAACATCTCTGCCTTGATGTCTGGGGAAGACCGCTGTTAAAAAAACATGAGATTAAATGACAATTTGTTATCCAGGAAATGTTAGAAATTATTATGAAGCCCCTGACAGTTTATGACTAGTGTTTGTTTCCACTGATCAACTCAAAATCAAACTTGAGAACCAAACTTTAGACCTGTGAGCACCAACTGACCTCTGTCACCACTAGGTAAACCTGTTCCATGCACAGAGAGAGGATGCTGGGCAGGAAGGGCTTGAAAGCTTGACCAGGCTCTTGAACCACCAACTGCAGGATTTTTAGGAACTTCTGTACCACTCTACACCCGGCACTGCCCTCGTGCAAAACACTGGCCGCAAGCTGTTCCCTGGAGCAGATGTGACATTACATTTCTTAG